CTTCCCTCCGAGCAATCTGGTTCCCCTTCTGCAATCACCAAGTGATGCATTTAGTGTCTGATCGATGCTGGGGATTTACAGCTGACTCAGGCACTCGGGCCTGTGATTTCTCTGTGGGAAGAAAGGTCATGGAGCAAGGGGATGTCAGAGCAACAGGCCAGCTCATTCGAAAACTTTCCAGTGTCGTGTTGGTCCGAGCAGGGATGTCACAACAGCCTCCAGCCAACCTGGAGCTAGTCCCTGCACCCTGGGCACCCCCTCCATCAGCAAACACCATCGGTCACCTCCCTTGCTTGCATTTTGCTCCGTGCATCTGGGCTAGCAGCGCCGGTTTGCTTCCACGGTGGCAACGCTCTGTGCAAGGTCATGGCCCTGCATAGGGCAGCGGGGGCCGGGGAGCATCGCTGCTGGTTGCATCTTGCAGACCAAGGAAAACCTGCAAGTGAGTGGCCTTAGGGAATTTTCACTGTGTGAATTTGCAGCATCCTTCCTCTTCAAATTCCCTAATGCCAGTCACTGAGAAAGTTATTCTTTATCCCCTCTGCCCCTCTGAGGTCTCAGCTTTTTCCCAAAACCAGGTATACTGAGTCTCTGCAATGCAATATTTGCCGTATTGCACCCCAAAGCAGCTGCTTTTCAGCACTATGAGTTAAAAAAAGGGCCCCCAAAGCAGGATGCTGTTGCAGAGGGAGGGCATGCCGGGGGTGGAGGGCTGTGGGGTGATGCTGCTGGGGCTGGTCCAGGTGAAAAGTGGCTGCAGGTGCTGAGCACAATGGTGTTCACTGGGGAATGTGGCTGCAAGGTCTCCGGGGGTTGATGTTGCTGCAAGGTAAGGGCTTTTCTCTTTTTCCTCCCAAATCCTTGTTTTTGCTATAAATATCTCTAGCAAGGAGGAAGCTTTGGCCTTGCTGGTTAGTTATCTCTGGCTCTTTCCATTGTGGGTCTGCTTGGCTGCTGCTTTTTGGGACTGTGGTGGGGCTGAGCGTGCTGCCCTGTGCAGGCTTGTGCCAGCTTTGTGCTTGAGCTTCTCAGAGGGGTTTGTGTGCCAGGTTGTGGGTCCTTGCTGGGAGCACTACTGCTTAGAGCGAAGGTGTGAAACCTGTATTGCCTGTCTGTGGCGTGCTTGGGGGTGAGCGGAAGAAAGGCTTCTGTGCGTGTGGAGGGGTCTGTTGGTCTGTTGTCTGGGTGTCCTTTGAGTGGTCACATCTCTCGAAGACAAGGGCTGGGAGCTTCCCGTTTGTGAAGGTGAAAACTGAAGCAGGGAGAGATGATGTGTCCTGATGGGATGTGGGAAACCGGTGGCAGTGCTGGGCGCTGACCCGGCTGTGCAGTTTGGTGGCTTGGGTGGGGAGAAGCTGACTTAGAGCAGGCGACCATGAAATGGCTATCTGCATGCAACACCTCTTGCTAATTCACCTCCCTCCCTTCAGCTGTTTTTGGAGATCGATGTGGCCTCTGCTGAGGGACTACAGAAAGCGGGATCTGCATCTCCCCTCTGTCTGGGGCTTTGTACTTTGTGCTGAGTCCCAGGCTCTGGCAGCTCCTCGGGGTCGGGTTGTGCTTGGGTGCACAGACTGGGTGCTGGGTGGCCAGGGGCAGCCTGCTGCAGCCCCTGGGACCTGGCAAAACAAGCCTGGGACCTGGGACCCGCTCTGCTGCTGTGGTGGGGTGAGCCTGGCCGTGCTGGTGTGACCCCAGCATGTGGGTGCACAGGGCTGGAGCCCCGAGTGCCACCTCCTGCCCCAGCGGGGCTATTGCCCACATCTGATCTAATTCTCATGCTTCTGGCCATGAAGCAACTATTCACTCAAGAGTTATCAAGCCCATAAACATGCATTAGCTGGTTTTGCTGCCTTTATGTGATAATTTAATTACCAAGGTTTTTCCCTAAATAGCCCTGTTTGTGGGAGGCTTTAGGGAGGGAGCAGGGTGATGCAGCACAGGGAAGGCTGGCAGTGGCCGTTGCGTTTCCTGGGCTGGGAGAGGTGTTAGGATGGGGCTGGGGCACCTCCTCGGCACGTGGCCGCTGCATGCACTTGCCACAGACGTTGCAGAAGGACACGGTATCTGTCCTAAACCTGAAGCCACTTGAACATGGGACACAGAGAAGTGCTTACCTCAACTTTCCCCATCCTTATATTTGGGGAGAAAAAAATATATTGGAGAGGAGCTGTGAGCCAGAGCAGTCGGATCTCCCTGCAATGCGAAGGGTTATCCAGTTTCTGTGCAGATTTGTCAACTGCTTCAAACAGGAAATTACTTCGTGTCTTGAAAAACATCCAAGCACCTGTAATGCCGGGAAGCACGGGGGAGCTGGCGCCCGCGCTGGGCTCGGCTCAGGGAGCCGGGGCTGAGCCCCCGGGCAGGTCTGTCCCTCGGTGCGCGGGGGGATGGTGTCCCCTGGAGGGATGGGGGGTCCCTCAGGCGTGGTATAACGGGTCCCTGCACTTGCTTTTGGTGAGCAACATGTGTGCAGAGCCTCTCCGCTCTGCACTTGATGATTTCTTTCTAAAAGCGCTGTGTTGGTAAGGAATAAAGCACCCACCACCTTCTCCCTGCTCCACATCTTTCCTGGGACTCTTCCTGACTTTCTGTAGGTCCTACCAAAACGCACAAGGGGTAGGTAAGGTGAAAGAAGGCTCTGCATCAGTGGTGTCTGCAGTGGGCTGTGCTTGGTCATCGGCACGGGGAAGGGGCTCTGGCCCCGCTCCCCACCTCTGCGGCCCATGATGGGGCTCCAGGCCCTTGAGGGTGAACCGGGGAGGAACGAGGCACCCGCTTTGGGAAAGCAGCAAACCAGCCCGTGGCCGATTAAAGGGCAGTCTGGTTTTGCTGAGAGCTGTTGGCTGCCTTGGCCAGTGTGATGCATTGCTCCGGCTCAATAAGACCTTCCTCCCCTCTGACAGCTGTGCGATAGATCATGAACATATGCAAAAAAATAAACTGCATCAAAGCCACTTGGCAACTTAACTAACCCAATTCATAAATTAATTTCTATTCCTCTTGTAAGGGAGAAATCAGCCACTCCTCAAGGCTATTTGTCTCTATCGCTCATCTGGCCACATCCTTCCATAAATCTTCTCTGTAAGTCTGAACTGGTGATTGCTGGGTCAAGCTGTAATAACGCTCGGTGCCTGCGCCGGGCTCAGGGGCAGCCCTGGGGATGGTTTGCCCTGGACTGGGGCAAGGTTGCTTCTCCCTGCATCGCCTGCATCCCGTAAGGCTGTAGCAGAGCCGGTGTTTTGCAGCATGGTGCTGCTCTGTGGGTGCACGTGGGTGATTTTGGGGAGCACGTGGTCCCTGCCCGGGAGCCGTAGGGGTGGTGCAGAGGTACAACGGTGAACCAGCTCCTTGCAAAATGTGGGTGAACAGCATGTGCCGGGTTTCCAGAGCTGTGCAGGGGGTGGCCGGTGACTGCAGGGTGCTGGGGGTGCGTGGAGGGAGGGTGGGTGCTTGGTGGGAGTTGGCACTGGGCTGAGCATACCCCTGCGGCATGGTGCTTGTGGAGCCGGGGGAGTCTGAGCCCAGGAGGCAGCTACGGCTGCTCCCCCTGCAGCTTTCCAAGACCCCACGGCTTCGCAGGACGGTGCCTTGCACCCCCAGCTCCAGATGGGCATCGGTGCCTGGAGCCCCAGGTTAGCTGTGCCAACCAGGCAGACAGAAGTCAGCTCTTCCCTGCTGTATCCCTCGCCCCACTCCCCCCTCGTAGAAAAAAATCACCACCTTTTCAGGCTGCCATCTATTTATTTTGTTGGACTCGGAACTTGCTGAAATGTCTTTCGATGGATGAAGCAATGCAGAGTAGAAGAACAGAGCCTGGCAGGCTGCATGGTGAGTGGAAAATAGTTTTTTGGGACTTTCTGGAGTTTGAAGGCCTGATGATGGATGTGCATGCGAGGGATGGTA